CAGTAAAGATCAAAATCGGTTGTCCATCTACACACCCTCTTCGATTTCTAGCGCACGGACCAAGCTTATGGTGTGTTTATAGTGATCGCTATTTTTACTGTGCTTGGTGTATCCTGACGATCAAGCCATTATTCGGCGACCCACAGTAGTGCTACTCTACAGGCTGAAAGCTGCTTATTTCACTGAGGACAATACATTCCTGCACCTCCTACCACAGCATCAGATTGACTGCATTTCCTCACTAACCACCGATGCCTCAGAGTCCAGTGGACATTCACTGCTACAGCATAATGATGCATAGCATGGTGTTATTACAACACGGTCCTATAAATATAGTTCTCTTCATGTAGAGCAAGCCGTTATGGGCATGAGCTGCTTGAGCCATCCAAAATTTCACGACAATACTGAAGATTATGCTCTGACACCAATCGACTTGGGTGACTTGGTGGCATTATTTCCCTCTTCCTTGCTACTACATGCTCTAGCAGCTTTACTGCTTCTGCAATCTGTCCGTTGGCTTGGTATACTCCTGCCAGTTCGTGCTGTGATGCCAGTCGTGATGGGTGGTTCTCCGCCAACGCCGTCTCTCTGACTGTAACCACATGCTCTAGCAGCTTTACTGCTTCTGCAATCTGCCCGTTGGCTCGATATACTCCTGCCAACGCGTGCTGTGATGCCAGTCGATCTGGGTGGTTCTCCGCCAACGTCGTCTCGCTGACTGTAACCACATGCTCTAGCAGCTTTACTGCTTTTGCAATCTGCCTGTTGGCTTGGTATGCTCGTGCTAGTTCGTGCTGTGATGCCAGTCGATCTGGGTGGTTCTCAGCCAACGCCATCTCTTCGACTTTAACCACATGCTCTAGCAGCTTTACTGCTTCTGCAATCTGCCCGTTGGCTTGGTATGCTCCTGCCAACGCGTGCTGTGATGCCAGTCGTGATAGGTGGTTCTCCGCCAACGTCGTCTCTTTGACTTTAACCACATGCTCTAGCAGCTTTACTGCTTCTGCAATCTGTCTGTTGGCTTGGTATACTCCTGCCAACGCGTGCTGTGATGCCAGTCGATCTGGGTGATTCTCAGCCAACGTCGTCTCTTTGACTTTAACTACATGCTCTAGCAGCTTTACTGCTTCTGCAATCTGCCCGTTGGCTTCGTATACTCCTGCGAGTGCATGCTGTGATGCCAGTCGTGATGGGCGGTTCTCCGCCAACGTCGTCTCTTTGACTTTAACCACATGCTCTAGCAGCTTTACTGCTTTTGCAATCTGCCCGTTGGCTTGGTATGCTCCTGCCAACGCGTGCTGTGATGCCAGTCGTGATGGGTGGTTCTCCGCCAACATCGTCTCTCGGACTTCAACTACATGCTCTAGCAGCTTTACTGCCTCTATAACGCGCCCATCTACAAGCAAACATTAACCGACCCAAAAGCCTAGTTTGCATAGCTCTTCACTCCACTCACCGTCAGCACATCTAAGGAGCTTGATTGCATGTGGCAGGTACTGTCGCCATAAATCTCGGTTTTCCCAGTCATCTGTCAGGAAGACTTCCCTCAGACGTGCTATCACTGCATCGCTTTGCTCTTTCTCCAAGTCATTCTTTACAACCCATAACCTTATTGCCATATACACCAGACTATGCATATCGAATACCTTACTGGATCCTCATCTATCCAGAAATCTGTAACCGCATAACGTACCGAGCGCTCAAGTCAGCTGTTATTGTGATTCACCCTCAGGCAGCATCGACTGAGGCACCCCTTTCGGTTCAACGTAAGCCAGAAACATCAAGATACGCGAGGAAAGCTTGTCGGCCTTTCAGATCTGGTTAAACGAGATAAACCAGGTAGTCGCCACGAGATCCTGAGACTGCTCATATCTCATGTCATCTTGGAACTCGGCACTTAATAGCTCTATCCTGTCATGATCTATGTTCTCAAAGAGCTGCAGATACTCCATAAGTGATATCTCATTCTCATTCAAGTATGCCGCTACTTACGTAATAGCTAGTGGAAGATATGTCAGCAGCATCAGAAGATAGTTCATGACTTGTTCGTCACTTGAAGACACTTCCTGGATCAAAGCCTGCTTAAAGTAGCTTCTCGCCTCATCTCGGCCCATTGCGGGTACGTCAAGAATATTTCGCCCGGCAACTGATACTGCCACTTTTCTGTATCGCGTCGTAAACAGGATTCGCCCTTGGTCGCTTTGCGGAAGGGATCGGTATAAGCCCTTATCCACACCTTTCGAGCCCATGACAGTTTGCATGTTATCAGCGTTATCAACCACAAGAAGCCATTTACCTGCACTCTTTAAGCATAGGTGCTGACAGACAGTTTCAATGGCATCGCTGTTGTCGGTAGTCGGAATGCCACAGGCGTCTATAATCTGCATACATGCCTGCTCGAAACTGGCATGGCTCAGCGCCGGCACCCAGAACACCAAGTAGTCCTTCTTTGCCTCCTTAATCCAATAAGCGATTTGCAGAGCAACCTGCGTTTTGCCAATGCCCCCAAGGCCAACCAGAGCGACTTTTCGGCACCCTTCTTAGAATAGTAAACCCTACAGCCTTACAAGGACATCATCTCGGCCCACAAAGAGGTCATTCTTCAGAAAGGGAACATAAAATACTGGTTGTATCTGACCCTCATCGACAGCGCGCGTAGAGTGGCCTCGGCCGGAAGAATCGCGATTCTGTAAACGGAGGTCGTTCTGGGGGTCCCAGGCTAGGCCTGAAACATCTTCTACTGTAAGCGGTAGCCGTCTATGGAAGTATGGTTTAGCATACCTTGGCCAAAAGAAGGTACCCAAAAGCCAAGAAAAGCCTTCGTACAGGCTGCCGCCGTAGCTGCAGCATATCGCTGCCAACCCTTGTCTTTATGGCTGTCAGCATAGTCGCAAGCGCCCTTGATCACAATGCATGGAAAACTATCCCAAACCCCAGCACCCTCCATCTCGAATCCAATGACGCCTTCCTGTACTGCGATTCGGTCGCGGTCTTCGCCAGACTTCATCACTGAGTTTCCGGAAGCCATCAAACCGAAGTGGACAGCAGGCGCAGGATAGATCCCAGCAGTCTCTAAGCGGTGTCGCAACACAAGCTCGCCATTGCATCCGAGCTGCTCGCACGATTTCTGATCTACTGCATGTCGGTAGAATGCATCGAACAGTCTGTCTTTCGTAACGCCAGGATACTCAGCACTAAGCTCTGGTTCTTAACGAAAAATATCAAGATACTCCGCTATCTTGGCGCTCAACTTTCGGTGATTCCGGCGTAATTAGAGTTTTGCCAGCACTCCTTATATCTCCTAATTCGGTCTGCCGAATGAGTCTAACAGCATGTCCTTACAGGCAAAACGGCCAGGAAGTTGCCGTCCAAAGTCACACTGAACAATACCGTCACTGATAATTACATCTCCAAGCACTATTTCGTCTTTATTGGGTTTGAAAGGAACAGCACCACAAACGCCAACCACAAGGGCAAGTTTGATGCCTGGAAAACTCTTCCCGCAGTTAGAGGCTACGGCAGCCGCATTGGCTATACCCATCCCTGGCATATATAAGAGGACGACGTTATGGCGGCCGATCACGCCCGTAGAATAAGCATTAGGGTCGCCTGACGCTTTGTCGAAAGGTAGGTCCTCATCATCCCAGTAATAGTCAAACAAGGCTTCAACAGCATCAGCCTCAAGAGGAAGAGCATATATAATGGCTATCTCGAAGCCGCGACGGTCGCTTAGATGGCATGGTTAGGGTAATGGGTTTAACATGGCAAAAGTGCGGCCCAATCAGCCAGTAAAAATCGGGAAAACCTCAAGACCATCGTCTAGAGAGCGATTGCCTGCACCAAAATCGTCTAAGAACAACATATGCCAAAATAAACACAAAAAGGGCAGAGGTATCTGCAATCAAAAATAGAATTATATAACCGAGGAAAAGAAACACAATAACAAGAAATCAAAATCCGAGAATTGGGTGAATTTTATAACGTCGCCTGCTGGCAGTAGGCTGGTTATGGTAGATTGATCAGGAAGGAAAAATAAAATCCTAGGCACCTGATAAGAAGCGGGGAAAGGTTTAAAACCTAGCCCTATAAGGCACATTTCTGTCGCTTGTATTATCCTTATCTTAAGCAGGTCCGCCACCAATCATATGTCTCAAGGCCCCTGCCAAAACAGTTGCCTACTTTTAAGGCAGATTTATCTGAATGTCTAAAAATAATGCAGGCGGTCTTAGGGTAAGTAAAGGTTTAGACTGCACTGCCTGTGTTCCTGCTGAGTCTTTGCGCGTTTTTGATACAGTAGACTTGATAGCGAGAATGAGTATAAAATGCTTTGATCTTCTTATCTATATACAATATAATATGTAATTAGATGAGAGTTTTTGATGAATCTCATTATAGAATATGTCCTTGCGAAATGCCATAACAGACAATATCTAGCATAAGATTATGAGCCATTTTAGCTTTTTATTAAATAAATAGTCAAACTAGCATATGGCCTGCTCCTAGCGTCATTTGGCAATGATTATCGACTATGAGATGGAGCTGAAGTTAAAATGTAGTGGTTACGTGAAGACGATAAAGTTACCCTCCCCAGGTCTTTTCGAGATGATGTGATGCAATCTGATGTAGGTAGAGATAGACGATGCGTTTCATTATAGGGCCCACAAACAATACTACTGGGCTGAAAGTAGTGGAGCATTGCCGCGTCATAAAGGGCTTTTTGTGGGGCCTTTAGCAACGGCAGTTTCTTTTACTGCCCCTCCTTAAAGGAAAAGGTCACTCTTTTGCACCTAATGGGAGGATTCTTTTTTCCTATTCTCCTCTTCCTTCTTTTTTTGCGGTAAATAGATGCTGCAGCAAGGTTGGGAAGTACGGCGCGATGAATGACGACAATAGTGATCTTTTCAGCTGGGTGACGGATGACGAAGATGCCAATCACAAGCTGACGTTACAGTCAGTAGCGATCCGCAATGCAACCCCGCTTGGTCAGATCCGGAACGGTCGCGATCGCTCCAGATTACCTTTGTTGCAACTCGCCGAATGGGACGAGACGCTCGCCTATGATGAACAGCCTCTGACCTGTATGCACTACTTGATCGAATGGAAACTAAAGCTAAATAGCAGGTGTATTAGTAAAGATACCGAGCCTGACGTTATCCTAGCGCCTGGCGCATACTGGACTAAGTATCTCTGGTCTAAGGTAGATAAACTTGCAAAAAAGAAGTTGCCTGCAAACCGAACCTTCCATGTTGACGATACAGACATTGCCGTTTGTGTTAACTATAAAGGCAAAGCAGACCTGAATATAAGGTGTGATGGCCTTGACGTTAATTGGAAGATGATAGAGAGTAAGCTGTAAGCCTGGAGTTACTTGCTTCTAGATGGCAAGAGGCTTAAGATCAGCCTTTCCTTTAACTACATCGAGACTAGCCAGTTGGGTGGTGTTGTCGCGTGTGGCAGAGGTGGCAGGAGTGCCACTGCTTTCTAGCTTGCTGAGAGAGCAATAGATATTGGCGAAGAGGAGATAGCGTCGGCTGAGCCCGCAGTGTAGAGGAAAGTCTACGACTTCTTCCGGTGCACAGGGTCGCCTTGCGGATTCGGGCCACATTGCTGGGTCGATACTGTCGGTAAGAAGTATTACAAGCTAAAGACTCACCATCTAAAAGCTCTTATTGAGCATATGCGCTTGGGAAATACAGTAGAGTCACACGATAACGTACCGCCTGATATCCGCGATCTACTGTATGCTAAAGAAGAGCAAAGTATCTAGCGTAAGAGGAAGCGGAGGCCATTATCTATAGATGCTCGGCCTGTTAATATTACTAACGTCATGCCTACTTATACTGGTCACTTATCGGATGACAGTGATACGAGAACGCTATCCAGATCGGCTGAGGGGAGTCGATATGCCCCCAAATATCTAGGCATACCAGAAATGCACGACGTAAATGTGAACAAGTACTGCATCTGGCACTGCTCTAAGAATGCCAATAACGTATGGAAGATAGAGTATAAGAAGGCATGCGACTTGATGCTGGCTAAGGGATTGGACCTGGAGCAGATTCGTCTCGATCAAGATGCTCAGTTCTTTATCGACAAGGGAATCAAGAAGGGCATTGCTAAGCGTTAGGTAAGCGACGTTGAGGTTTGGTTTTGCGATATGGAGACGCTAGAAGCTTTAGAGTAGATTGCAGTCAAATTTAGTCTATTCCATTCTGTCTGCTTTGAGCATCCGTTCTGGCGGCTCCTCTATCTCTATGCCAGCGTGACGAAAGTGACCTTCAGCGCTCTCCTGCCGTGGCCTGACCCTACTTACACACCACTCTAGGTATAAACTAAAATCTATCTGGATAAAGTGTTTGTTCTTATACCAGTGACGCCTGATGAAGGACTTAAGCTCAGCAAAGAACTCTTCTATTAGATTGAAGTCAGGCGAATAAGGCGATAAGTACAAGAGCTTAACACCGGCATCTTTATACATCTGCTCAATTACAGGTGATCGATAGAAGGATGCATTATCTATTATAAGGACTGAGTTTGGCTTGGGCCACTTACTGCAGTAATATAACAGCTGCTTAATGAACTCTTTAAACTTTGCACTATCTGTACTGCCAGGGAAGATGTCATAATGCAGGATTCCCTCTTGTGTGTAAGCTAGTAGGATCTGGTACCTCTAGTTACGATAGAAACGGTCGATCTGGACTGGCGTAATGCCTTTTAGAGCCTACCTAAAGCGTCTTCTTCCTACGCGTCTATTGCACCCAGACTCATCAATATACACAAGTTAGTAGGATTGATAGAATAATAGCTTATAGAGGTAGTAGTTGCGGAGGTTGGCGTTGCGTCCCTTTGCAATATGCCATACCATCTTTCTTATCTATCATGCTGACTTTAAAGCTTAACCGATATTGGAGGCAGGAATAGTTGTCTTAAACTCTTTCTCGAGAAATTCTACCATCTTATTGCAATATATGTTAGGTTTCACAGCGAGGCGATTAAGTAAAGCGGTCAGTATAGAAGGACTTAACAATCGGCATCAGCCAATACCGTTAGAAGGGGCTTTAGTCGAGCTATAGCATTGCATATTGGCTCGAATCTGACGGACCGAGCTGGCCCTGCAGTTAGCAGTATAGGCGATAATAGCATTCTTATAGCCGGCAAGGATTATATTGTAAATCAGAGCATGCTGATAAGCAGCCAGATTTGGGGCCATGCTGATGTTGCCGGTTATATTGGATGAAGTCGGTTTCTAGCCATGCTGACTAGCTAGGGAGACGTAGGATATAAGGGAGAGGTATGGTGCTGTCCTCTTTGTGACGTAGGCAGAAGAGGCCGCATCATAAAGAGATTCTAGACCTACAATTTTACATTCGTCTTAGTTAGTACTCATTTTTAGGAAAAACTAAACTAAATGTAGAAGTCTACATTATAATCAAAAACAGCATAAGCAGAGTTATGGTGGTAAAGCAGCTTTAATATTGCTCCTGTACTGTACAGTTAATCGATTAGACAGGAGATGGCCTCTGTTCTATCAAGGCAATAGAGTCAGATTTTGGCCACTCTCAAAACAATAATATAAGGCCTATTACTGGATGATATGGGAAATAGTAAGAATATGGAGGTATAGTGAAGGATAGGCTTGATTATCTGTCATAGAGTAATTGCATTTGGCTTTTAATCATACATATAAGCTGTCAACAGGTACATTCATACTGTATAAATAAGCAGACGCTACTATATAATCAACACCCCCTTAGCTAAAATGTCCATGCGGTATAAACCAAAGACAGAGAAAAAGGGACAACCAATTTCGATCTTTACTGTATATACACTTTAATATGTTCTCTAAATGATCTTCCTTTGGTCATTATCCTCTCAGCCATTTCGGCTATACGGACTAGGTCTACCCGGGGGTGAGCCAAGTCTCCCGTACCCCGCTCCTCCATCCACATGAAGTCCGAAAGTTCCACGTATGCTAAACGTAACAAAACTCCTATCATGCCCATATAGCCGAGATAAACATCTGGCAAGACACGTATATCTCTTTCCTTCGGTTGATGAGTGCCCTGCCGATGTCGTCTATCCCCAGCGGATTGCCTATCATGAATCCGACCCGCAGGTCGCGGGCGCGTCAAGCTTGCAGAGCTTGTAATGCCCGGCGTGTGAAGTGCAATGTCGTCGAGAGTTGGCCGTGCTTCAATTGTAAAGATCATCAGGTGACTTGTGAGCTCCGTGAGTCTCGCCGTGGTCGACATCGCAGGCCGAATCTCTCGCAGGCACCAAAGAGTCCAGTTGATGCATCCCATGACGATGCCAGCGTCACACAGCACAACAAAGATGAAGCACTCACGTCCCTGCCACCACCAGAATCCGGTCCCTCTTCTCCAATGGGGCTCGTGTCGCAGACACAAGATTCTCAGCCTGTCACCCAAATCATCACCCCGACCAATGACACAATACAAGTCCAAGAGTTGCAGGATTACTGTGACGTGGAATGGGAACCATGCTTGCCTCTCCATCCGCATGGGGGAACCCAAATACAGCAACACGATGAAGTTGAAGATAATCAGAACGGCGACGATCGACCAGAAGATGACGAAACCGTTTTCCTTGGAGAGTCTGCTTCAATAACATATCTCCATGGCACGCAAACTTCGCCAGAATCACAGTCCACGACTGACCAAGGCTTTGTCTATCGACTGCCTGAAGGCCTGGGCGCAAAAGCTGTGAAATCCCACTGGGAGCTTGAACGCAAACAAGCTCGTATCCGTCTATTACAGCTCGCGGGGGCATTTTCATTTCCCAATAAGCCAACAGTTAAGAATATCCTCATGGCATACTTCAAATGGTTCCACCCATGCTTCGCTGTTGTCGATGAGCCAGATATCTGGGATCAACATCGCCAAGGCATTATATCGCCCCTACTTTTGCAGGCCATGCTGTTCATAGGCGTCATGCATTGTTCTGAACCAGACTTGGCACAAGTCGGCTTGGGCTCGCGTCAGCGGGCAAAATATATCCTATATAATCGCGCCAAGGCATTGTTTGACGCTGAAGCTGAACCAAAGTCACTTGTTGTTATACAGGGTTTGTTCCTCATTAGCTTCTATAGGGCTGGGCCTCTGCTTCAAAGGGATACTCGTCACTGGCTTGCCGTGGCTGTAAGTCAGGCGCAGACAAGAGGCCTACATCGCGCATCGCGCGAGGGGAAGGACAAAACTCAGCAACTCCGAAAGCGTTTGTGGTGGTCTATATATATCCGTGAGAGGCAGTGCGCGGCTGCCTTGGGTCTTCCTAATCGGATCCGAGATGAAGATTGTGACGTGGAAGCTCTGGATAAGAGTGATTTCCAATATGCCTTCGACTTGTCACTGTTAGCGTCCCGAGCGGCAGATTCCGTCGCGTATATGGTTGGAATGGTAGAGTTATCGCGAGTGCTTGGTCGAATAATGCATCGGAACTTTTTGCCGTCAATGCGCTTAAGCTCTACAGAGCGCGAGGAAATAAGAGCTGCACTAGCTCTTTGGATAGCATCATTACCTGCCGGGATGCAACTCTCGCCCAGCGAAACAAGCAACGGTCTAAGTTTTCTCGCTAGCATGCTTCATCTTGCTTACAACAATCTCCATATTCTCCTTTACCGTTCGGGATGTGGGAACCTTGGCGACTCAGGTAGCGACGCCGATGGAAAAGTTGCGATACAAGCTGCGGCGCGGAACTCTACTATAATCGAGCATATGCTCATTGAGGATTTCATGTGCCATGGCCAGGTCCATGTCATCACCAATGTCTTCAATACGTTATGTATTCACACTCTTCAGCTCAAAGAGCTTCGAGGCGGGCGGCGTTTTGTAGCTGAGCATCGTGCCAAGCTTTGTCTTGTGGGTTTGCGAGAGTTGCAGAAAACGTGGGAGTATAAGAATTGGATCCTTGAGTTGTTCTTCCACTACTTGGACCACACAACAGCGCTGAAGCTACAGGTCGAAGACGAGGTTGGTGACTCGACAAACCCGCCACAGCAGCCTGGGCAGCAGCAAAAGCAGCAAGGAGATACGCCCGTTTCCTCCGTTACTGGTAATCGTTTCCAAATGAAACAGGGTCACGACGAGACAACCAATCCATTAGACATAGATCAAGCCAAATTGCATGACACTAGTTGGCCCATCGAGATAGAAAATGTCGGTCAATTTCTTCACACCCAGATCGAAGATCGGTTTATTAATGGAGACGGAGGGGCGATGGACTGGTATATGGCTGACTTGTTCACCAATGCGTTGCCACCTTGAAAAATCAGCCTGTTCTCCTTCGTTCATGCCGTATCTCGTATGGGCCAATGGCAGTGTGCGTAAGCTTAAATGGTTAGATATTTCAAAGTCGGTAACTCAAGCAAACTACGCAGCAAGGACACCGAACTACTAGAGAGATAGGATTTCACCTTGGATATTAATAATCACTGTAACTAGCTGTATTCTAGGACCTCGTAGAATCTAACCCTAAGTTTGGCTATTCATCCTCTACTGCTCTTCCTCCTCCAACCCAACAATCTTAAGCGAGTCCTTCCAGAGTCTTTCCGCTTTCTCAGTATCATACGCCCAGTCGGCATAAGTATTTGCGACAAACTTATGCTCGTCACCAGTTCCCGGTTTAGCCACATCGCAGTCGACGAGATACTTGCCACCGTTGTTCTTCAGCACCTCCTGACCCACCGCCGCCCAGACGGTAGTTGCGGCACCTTGCGGAGGACTTTTCATCATGGGTTTAACAAAAGCCATGGAGGAAAACGAGTTAGGGGGCATATGCCTGCTCAGACCAGTGGAGATAAGACCTGGATGAACACTGTATGCGTGTAGGTGCTGTGTACTATACCGCCGCTCAATTTCATTCGCCATATAGATATTGGCTGTCTTGGATTGGGCATATGCAACTCTAGGATCATATCCGCCTTGCTGGAAGGAGTAGTTATCGCTATCATTGAGGCCATGGAGGTTGTGGCCAGAGGAGGATAGGCAAACAACTCGAGAAGGCAGTTCAGGAGAGGCAGCATTAAGTAGAGCCGGTTTGAGCATCATAAAGAAGAGGAAGTGAGAGAGATGGTTTGTGCCAAACTGAAGCTCATGGCCATCAGCAGTAAAGTGAAGCTCCGGGATAGCCATAATTCCAGCATTATTGATAAGACAATGAATCTTGGAGGTCTTTTGCAGGATAGCTGCTGCTGCGGTACGAACAGAGGCAAAGGAATCTTGATCCATTTGGAAGAGCTCCATGCGAGAAGGGTCAAAGATGCCCTCAAGGGCAGATTTCGCCTTATTAAGATCCCGGGCCGTTAAATATAGAGTAGCGCCAGTGGCGGCGATAGCGCGTGCCGTTTCTATGCCGAGGCCTGAAGAGGTACCAGTGATGACGAAAACCTGGCCCTTGAGCTTGCCCTCGACGCCCTCGTCACTGATTATTTGCATGGCGGTAGGGCGAGCATCACCAGGCCCTTCCGGATTAGCAAAAAGATCAGAGTAGGGAGACATGGTGAGTGGTGATGAGCGAAGAATTAGCTTGTATGATGTGGAAGACGAAATGTTATGCTGTTGGATGACTCGACAGCCAAGCTGGTGTCGAGGAAATATATATAGCAGTTTGCATCCAGGCATGCGTCGATGAAACAACATGTTGGTGATTTGCTGGGACAAGCCATGGTTACTACACTACTAGGCTAAACGATAATCGAGACAGAATGGCTTACAAATCATTACATATCGGTGGAGATAAGAGCGGAGATAAGTCTTGACTTCGCCTACTCAAGATAATGCTACTTAAATCCATATCGTCACTGAGAAACTCTGATATCGTACAGGCTATAAGGTGAAAATGGTGGAAATGGGCGCTGGTCCCGCGTGCGTTGATGACATTCCTGCCTTTTCCGGTCTGGCCACACCCGCCCCTGTCTCGGACTCAATGTGGACTTATCCTTATTAGGGTTAGCATGCGGCACTTGACCCCCGTCGGCTCATGTCTTATCCGTACCTATAGCCTGCTTGACCAGGTAATTGGCTCATGCAACTCTCGGCCGGCAATAGGGGTACCGAATGAGAATCTGAATGAGAATCAAAATGCCAGCTCACATAGTTCACAGTACCGTGGTATCCTCGGGCAACAAACAGTGGAGGAAGCTTCACCCTGCCTACGCGTCTGCCGAAGTGTGCTCCTTTAATGCTATACCAGTAGGACAAAGCCTCAAGGGCTATTACGCTGTGACGGATCATGCTTCGGCCGCATTCGAGATCAAGCCATGGTGTATCGATGAAATTGATAGTGTCTCCTCCCAAGAAGTGGACCATGCATAATATAGATCAGATAACCGTTTAAATACAATACTCCCCGCGTTACACATATCTATTCACTTTTGAGGATAGCGTCATCTCCTGGGAGTTACCACTTGTTAACTTTGTGTCTCATCAAGGACTCAACATCACGCTGATAAAGTTTAGAGCTTTCTTCATCCACGTACCCGGCTAGCCCGCATGCTTATGGTGTACATTGCTTTTATCCTCTATAAATGTATCTTTGAACCCTTGAGTAACATGATTAAATTTCAAAAGCACAACACATTTATCTACCTATTAGCACTAATTCGCCTTCGAACTCTCATGTAAACCTCTTCTCTCCATCCAAGGAATCCAATATGAGCCGCAGCTGGTCCAAGCACCGGCTGCGAGATCAAAACTGCCACCGAAGTTGTTAAAGCTTCCTTGTTTGTAATATAGCCCAAAAAGCGTAGATCCAGAATCCGACAGACGCTGTTGGCAAGAACTGAAGCGGCATTCAAGAGCATATCTCGCTGCCAGAATGTGCAGATCTTGTCTGCTGGCTCAGATGGAGATATGTCAGATGCTCCGATACTACCGAAAACATCAGAGAGTCTAAGGTTTGACGTTCGTGAGATGCGGCAGAGTACATAGAGATGTATAAGTGCTGTAGTTGCGGTTCCCGCTATGTACACGCATCTCAGCAACGAGTGCGTGTCCGATTCTCGCTTGTCTGGATTTTGGATTTTTTTGGAGATCTCTGACTCGGGTGGGTTTGACGCATTTCTGACTCTATGCTTACGTAGAGCGGTGGAAAGAACAGTGGTGAAAAGAGCGACGTAAAGAGGGACACCCTGCCACAATGCAGTCACTTTCTGCCAGGCAGTCTTGTCTTCAAAAGGTCCCAGCATCAGTGCAGTAGGTATGATGTATCCAAAGATTATACCTGGAATAAACGATTTGACTACTTCTCCATCGATCGAGCGGTCGGTAATTGTGTCTATAGACCCCCAAAGGATATGCTCGCATGCTGAAATCAAGTGATATATTGGCGCGATTCGTCCTACTGCCGCGACGTGGAAGATGATGATAAAGACCGATGAGCTATGTTGCGCTGTGTTAGCGATCGATCGATGTCTTGACGTGAATTCTTCTGTGGAGCCCTACAAAGAAGTGATCAGACCATTTGAGCCAACGCGATGGCTTTCAAGAGTCCAGTCAAGAATGGTAGACATCAACAGTGGCATAAAGGAGATCAGCTGTAACCTTGTCGATGTGCCTGATTCAAGGGAAACTCCAAAAGTAGCTACAGATGTAGCCAAAATCTTGTCCAGAGTTTCAATACCTGTATAATGCTTTACCAAAGGCTCACCACCAAACGTGTTCGGTTTCTGTAATGGCACAAGCATCTCTGACGCCAATTGAAGTAACGCAACTTGACTGAAGGCTCCAACAGCTATGGGTAGCCAGGACCAAGATAGAGGTTTTGCGGGTAATTCGTCGTTGAATGGGACTGTGTGTTCACGTGGAGGCAGAGGAATACCGTTAACTCTCATGGCACCAACGAGCTTACTACCGCCTAGGAAAGTTATCTCGCTGAGAAGGCGAACTCTTGGGGGGCCGATGACAGCCAGGAGAGGATCTGCCATAGCTTGGATCTGTTGAATCTGGTGGGCATCATCGATGAGCCACTTTACTCGATCGAAACGCTCTTTCTGTACGGCGGCAAAAGCGGATTCTATGTTTTTAACACTCCATTTTGAATACTCACCCGTTAGGTGATTCACAAGAGATGCTGCTGTCTCAATGGCTGAGTTGCCTCCTTGACCTGTTAAAGGCTCAAACTTGACAAGGTTAGTATGGTGAGATGGACATTAGATAGGCCATAGTACCTTATGAGCTGCATCACCAATAGTGATAATGCGCTTGTAATGCCATTTTTCAAACACATATTCGTGAAGTGCTGTCAGTGTGGAGTTGGTTCTAGCTTCTGTGACCAAGGTTAGGAGGATAAAAGAGACTTCAGCCACCAGGGCATAACGGCAGAGAACTCAAATGAAAACATACCATACAGCTGTCCGAAGGTGACCTCGGGTGTGATAGGATCAGATGCATGCTCTGCCACCAGTTGCTCCTCGTCTAGCTTTGTATAACGTGGGATATCATTGCCGTATAGAGGGACAGGCAGTTTAACAAAGAAGAACCAATAGAACTTTCCTCCTGGCCCGCTTAAGAGCAGATATGAGAATTTGTCGTTGTAGATAGGGTGGGCACCCTTGGGCAATTGCTCGATGGGGCGCGAAATGCCGAATATACACTTATAGTGACAGGGTACACGTGACCACTCGTTATCAGGAAAATACCCCGGTGATGCCTTATTTGCCATGCGCCACATCTCACGTCGAACGGTGCTGAAGATGCCGTCGGCACCGACCAGGATGTCTCCCTTGAACTCTTTTCCTTTGGCTGTGATGACTTTGATACCGTCTTCGAGTTCCACGACAGATCTGACAGCTTCTCCAGTGTACACAGAGTCTTTTGACTCGAGTTTTTCATACAAAACCTGTAACAGCATTTGCCTATCGATGAAGATAGTCGGATAGCCATGCCTAGACACGAAAGCATTAGATCATCACTTCTATACATTTGAAACTCATTGGCTAATGACATACCTCTTTTTGAGTTGTGTTTGGATATTGCGGAAATGCCTGATTATGGAGCCATCGGGATACCGTACAAATCTGTCCTGAAGCGGATTTTTCACAAGCGGACCGTCAAAGAGAGATAGAATACCCTCTGCGCAGCCTAGTTGATCCAGAATTCGAAGTCCATTTGCTTGAAGGCCAATGCTTGCACCAATCTGAGGTGCAATTTCGTTGCGAGATTCCAGTAAGATATAGTTTATACCAAGTCTTTCCAGCATATTTGCCAGGGTAAGGCCAGTTACGCCTCCGCCCGCAATAATGACTGTTCGCTGAGATTTTTCCATAATGTGTTAGATTGAGAATGGCTGGACAGTTGAGTTGGAAATAGATTCGATTTACTGTTGATGCACTACACGACTGTCAGGAGTTGCAGTCCTTCACTTGAGTTTTAACGTTTAATGTTCAGTCACAAAGACTATGAATAGCCGAATGCCGGCTTCCGGACTCACCGGCATGCCTGGCCTGGTGTATGATCATCGTAATGTAGATGAATGCGATCACGAGTTCCATCAAAATGTGGTAGCACTTCTGGTTGACTTAGATGATTATCGACAAAATGCATATGGGAGACCTCAAAACACCTGCCCAGCCAATCATCTCCTAAGCATAATCAGTTTTGCATACGAGAAACCCGACTTTAGCCTACTTCAAGCGTTCCATGGAAAGTCCATGCCGACAAGTACAAGTCATATTGCGGGGGGTTGTACGGGATGGGGACCCCGCATCTGGCTCCGGCAATCAAGCCTGTTGTCTCCCCATGGGGTCATCTCCAATATAGCTACTGTCTTCTTCCCCGGCCTGTCTTTTCCTTTAGATGAACAAATGATGTCATAGGGTACCCGTGTGGTGTACACGATCGCCCAACAAGCTTTGCATATACCCTCGGCTACAGCATAGTTACTCGACTAATTACCATGACCATCATCACCCTCAAGTGTAGTACTGCAGTAGGCTACTCGGGAAATGATAAGGTATGCACTGTTCGGGAGTTCTGAGAGCAATTCCAAACAATCAGTTTACCGAAGGCTGTTTAATACATTCTGGCAAAAGTAGTATTGCCGCTTCAAGTAAAACTTAAAGCTTTAAGACAAAACAATACACAATGGTTCTCAGGGTTTAATTATTTCCGTTAATACCTTTTTATTTCGTAACTTAATTAGGATCGATTAATAAGACAGGATGTAGAGCACTTGCTGGCTTAACTTTAGGTAAAAGATTTATAGGTTCCCTCAAGTCAGGAACATACCATAGCTTCCCAATCCAAGACAGAATAGGGAGTGGCGGAAAGTCCTTTCTGAAGTTTTTTATAAGCGGACAATACTGAATACTGCCAAGACCTCACAGGCACTGAATTATGTATTTCAACCTGTTGTTTCCCTGCCACGAATCCTGGTTTTGCCACATACTGCCTATGCCTATACAAAGCCCGTAAATAAGATTCTAGTTGTCCAAATCCGTCCGGCTCTAAGAAGAACTAAAAGTTATGGAAAGAACAGAGCAGAGTCAAAACCACATTAATGCTAAAAGTGAATAATAATGAGCCACATTTATAATAGTATCTACCAGGCTGCTATCGGGGGGACAAGGATTCTAGGTGTAGTATGTTGTGGCATTTCATTACATATTAAAAGCGTCAGGGGGAATGCTACCAAAATCCGGGAGCTCTAGCTTAGAATTAAGGTCCAATACTGCAAACATTCTACAGGTGTGTTACATTGTTTCCTCTATCCCCATTCTCAAACACTCATGCATTTAACCCATCTAGTTTAAATACACCATCTTCATATACAGGAAGGGGCTGACCCATATCATCAGCTTTAATGCTCAAGGCAATATAGCGAGAAAAGTATCTCGCGTGTCCAAGAGCACCACCCATATACCACATTCCTGGCTCTATAATCAAGTCAGCGTATGCCGTAGAGAGACCTAGCTAAGAGAAAATTAAAGACACTTACGCTTTGTGGGCTTAAAGGCTCCAATAACCTCCCCTTCAGTGTTCAAACCGAAACAGTCTCCAGCTCTCTTGGCAACTACTGGGCCGAATATCATCTTAGCATGTTGGCGGAGGTTGCCTACAAAGCCAGTTGCAAGTACTATCATATCGGCTTTAATTTCGACTCCGTCAGAAAATATAAGCCCGCTCTCTGTATATCTTACAGCATGGGCATCCGATTTGACTTTAATCTATAACAAAGTAAGTAAAGGTTTCACTTCAGTATAGCAATGCATGTCATACCAGATTTTTTCCAATTTTAGCCGATGTTCCGACATCAATGTAGTGTCCACCTAGGCGAACATTAACAGCATCTTGGATGTCCCCGAACGGATCAACCTTAAAACCAGCCCGTTCTAAAGCTTCGTATCTTTCTGGCTGTGCTCGGGCCATGGCGTGGAATACTTTTGACGAGAGTATACGAGCAATTGATATGGGGAGGCTAAACATGCCTCGGTCGCTGGTCTCTGTAGGGATGTTGCTGTTATACATCACTTGATAGAACGTTAGCTGTCAACACATATTTGCTAGCCAAAGGTCGCCTCCACTTACAGTCATAACGCTCTTTGATGAACTCGACCGGAAGCACAACTGTTGAAAAGGCAAAGAGTAAGAATCAAAGGAACTTATCCTTCTCGAGCCAATGGGAACTTACAGGTACGGCTCCTCTGAACCATGGTCACTTGCATACCTGCTTGCCACATGTCATCGGCAACATCGTGTGCTATTTGAGCAGTTAGAAGATTGCTCACTGTGGGAATGTGGAGAACGAGAGAGACAAGAAGACTATCAAGACACGCCGTTGAATCCAGTTACCTGTGTTTGCAGCACCGACTACGATTCCAGACTTTCCAGTCCAGGATTTCGCGTCTTTGTAATCGACAGAGTGCATCAAAATTCCCTTGAAAGCATCCTGTTCGAGATTGTCAGCTGTCATCGTCTCGAGCTGAATGTGTCTTCTCATTAGGCCTTGACGCTTACCTTGTCCGCTATGTTTGGCCAAACGGGAGTTTGCGAATTTGCGCCTGTCGCGAACACGACATGTCGGGTAGTGATTTGAACGGGTTGCCCGTTCTTGACGACATCCAGTGTATAGACTCTGGTTGCTTCATCCCAGGAGCCAGATACCGCAGTTGTTGAGAGCCAGATATTCTGGGTGAGTTTATAAATCAGCTAAGCCCAGAGTGTACAGATGCTCTGTTCTTGAGTCGGACTTACTATGCGGTATTTCTCTGCCCACTGTTTGTGGCCCTTAGCCAGCTCATCCTTGCTAAGGTACTCGTCATACTCGGGTCCAAAGGTTCGTTCGAAAGGCAAGTGGGCTGTGATCTCGAATTAGTAGTTGCATCGGCTTTCTTGTCTTGAGCGCGGAGATTGGAAACTTACAATACTCTCGAATAGTGTGTACTGAGAAGTAGGTATTGATAAGCTAAACGAGCAACAGAGAAGGGGGCAGTTTCAGCATGATAGGACTCGGGGAGAACTTACGCCGCGCTGATTCGTATCTCAACTTCCAGGCATCTCCGACCTGCACGTTCTTCTCCAGGATAACATATGAGACGCCAAGGGCTTTTAGTCTCCCACCGACACTGAGACCACTTTGTCCACCGCCGATGACCACAGCCCCGAAATGATAATGATGGTTCTCCGTTGTACCGGAGTTACCATTCTTCTCATCACCGCCATTGGCAGGGTCTAGCTTATCTACATTGCCGTGACCACTCAGTTGCTCAAGGAAGGTCCTCAGCACCCAAATCCTCCACTGACCATCATCAGATGGGACGAGAGACAGTATGCCAGAGCACTCGGTTGCTGGGGTCAATGTCTTGAAGGTAAAACTGCAATCAATCCACTCTACGCCGGCTTCAGGCTTTATCACCTTGACAGAACCTGGCACGAGAGTTGCATCTAATAGCCCGTGGCTGTCGCTGAGAGATGCCCATGTTGATGCTACTGAGCTGTCAAAGTAGAAGGTGCGGATAGTACCAGTCAACGCATAAGTATCGCGCCAGAGTGCGTCTGGGGTAAAGTGATGCTTTTGCAGCCGTGGAAACAATTCAAGTACTTGACTTACAGCTGCTTCTAAGTCAACATTAGGAGGTATCTTAGCCTTAGGAAGGCTCCCGGGGAGGAGCTCTAAGATGTTATTGCTTTTCTTGGGGGCTTCAGTTGTTGAATGCATTTTGCGAGATTGGTCAAGGTGATTTTGGGTGGTGCTGTGAATGAAAGTCCCCATGGGGTAATTTGACATATTTAAACTTCAATGCATGTCAGTTAAGATATCATAAGACACGCAAGCGTAAAAGCAGAGCCGGCCTTCACGGCTACAAAGCCGTGCTTACCAATGATTAAAAATTCACTGCAGCATATATGCTTGTCAAAAGTAACCGATGTTATTGCCGAAATGCTTGTCACAGAGTAGCGAGGGGCATTGTGACAGTTCCCGCGGGAGTAGGGAAACCTACTAATTGAACTATTATGGCCGGCTATTTGGCTGCCGAGAGCCTATGTAAGTCGTTGATTGGTAAGGCACTTATTATGCTTTGGACCGGAAATCGCGGATGTAGGCCACTATAATGTCCGTTACGTCTATCTCCACATCCACCTCCGATTCCGATAATCCACTCACTTACTTAACGTCCACCTATCCTTCCGACTCATGGTGTTTCGCACAACACTAGAAGAGCCGACTTATGTAGACTGTTGCTTTATTAGTTCTCGCACCAAGCAATGGATGTAAGGGAGTATGTCTACGGCACCGCTGATGGGGGCGTTCCATTGCACACCGATGTTTATTATAAGCCTGTTGCGAACGACTCTGTAAGTGAGGCTAGACCTATCGGTAAGCAAACTTGACGGATTCATGAACAGAGCAAGAGCTGATTGTATTGCGTCCGTACTTTAGCAATTCTTATCTACGGTGGTGCCTTTGTGGCTGGAACAAAAGCAACTGTATCCAAAGCCCGCCTTGACTCTCTTATTGATGAGTTCGGCTTTACAGTTGCTGTACCGGACTATCGTCATTGTCCAAGTGTATCTGTCTACGATGGACCCGTGACGGATATTCATACCGCCTACAAATGGGTCTGTAATGAGCTTCCTCAGCTCTTACTCAAAGACGTTGGTGCAAAAGTTGATGGCAGTCGAGTTGCAGTCATCGGCTCATCTGCTGGAGGTAACTTGGCTCTGCAACTGGTGAGTCCTCCTTCATGCAGTTGCTCGTATATTCTTCCGAAGTCGTACTGATCGATTTGTGATCTATCTTAAGGGATCTGCTACACCACCTCCAAAGGCTATTGTCTCTTACTTCCCCGCCATTTACTTAAAGGATCCCTTCTGGCACACGCCGATGGAAGCTATGGCTCAAATCCCGCGCTTCCCAGAGGCCTTTCTTAACAAGGTGTATGACGAGGGCGTTATCACCTCTGCTCCTCCATCGTTTAAGAAAGACCCTGGTAGTCCGAAACGGATACCAGACTTCTCTAAGCCCAGAACTGCTTGGCTTTTGAGCAATTTGCGAGACGGAACCATGTTTCGGAATATAGTCAAGGATGGCGACTATGATCGCGTAGACCCTGTTCAATTCTTCTCAAGCAATTTTCCCCCGACCTGTTTTATCCATGGCACCGAGGACAAAATGGCTCTTCCAAGATTTTCAGCAGAGGCATGCAGGACCCTGCAGTCTCTCGGTGTAGACGCCAGGTTAATCGTTGCGGAAGGATATGGGCATGATTTTGAAACTTCTATGGCGGCAGATCATCCCGATTTCTCAATTGTCCGCGAGTCACACCGCTTTGCGGCAGAGAGAGTCTAGCGTCCGGCCTCATAGTAGCTTGTTATAAACCAAATCAAGACTTGATTATCAACTGCATCTTTACAAAGTGTCCCTCAATAAACAATAGCCAATGTTTTCTTTACCCAATTAAATACATTACCAGTGTCGGGGCCTGGATCAGCCTTGGCCAGAGTCCATTTGCTTCCAAAAGAATGTCATGGCTATTGGTACGGAAACATTTCGCTCATATTACCGCGGCGTATCGAACATTCAATAGTTGAGTTGCACTGCTTCCCAACAGAGAGATAAACGCAGCCAACGGCGGTCAAGGCACTGCAAATTCATTTTGATTGTCTAAACTTAGATCCACATTGCACGAGTCCAAACTTGGCTATTCTTGCACCCAAGCTGAAACCTCCTTGTCTTGTGCAACCTAGCCCATAGCCCCACCAAGTAGCCTATCGGCTATCGAGTCCGCCGATGCTTACGGTCTATGCATTCCGGTGCGTCAGCAATGTCACAATGCAGAGCTGAGCAGCGCCTATCCACTTACCTTGAGCACCTGGAACTCTTCAATGCCGGTTCTGCCGCCTTCTCGTCCGAAGCCCGAATGTTTGACTCCACCAAACGGGGCCACAGGGTCGGATATTACACCCGTGTTGACCCCGACCATGCCAGTTTGTAGCATTTCAGCCGTCTTCCACGCCTGACTAAGCGCGTCGGTGTAGATATAAGCGCCGAGGCCGACGTCCGAGTCATTGGCCATTGCAATCAAATCCTTGTCGTCCTCAAATGAGTAGATAGCAACCACCGGTCCAAACAATTCCTCCTTGCTTGCCTGCATCGAATGTGACATGCCTGTCAGGATCGTAGGCGGGTAATAGTTCTCTGGGTCATCTGCCGATCGCGTTCCACCTAGCACTAGATTCGCTCCTTGCTGGAGAGCGTCCTCTACGAGTCGCTCGACCTTTTTGGTCCCCTTGACGTTGATCAGAGGTCCGATGGTTGTGCCAGACGACAGAGGGTCTCCTTTGATAACTTGCTCGTTGATGGTGTCTATGAGCCTATCCACGAATGTGTCCTCAATGCCCTTTTGAATATACACCCTGTTTGGTGATACACATGTCTGTCCCGACCCACGAAATTTGGCTGCCATGAATCCTTTGATAGCTCGGTCCAAATCTGCATCATTGAACACTTCGTTGTGTTAGTTGATCGGTACATGGAATGTCATGCAGAAGTTTACTTGCCAACAAATGGAGCATTCCCTCCAAGCTCCATCGAGAGCTTCTTCAGGGAATGGCTTGACTGTTGCATCAGAGTCTTGCCAACGGCAGTAGACCCTGTAAAAGACAGCTTCTTAACAGAAGGATGCTCGGAGATGAGCTTTCCAACGTCTACAGTATTGCTTTGAGTGGTCAAAACATTGATTACGCCAGCAGGGATACCAGCACGATGGCCCAGCTCAGCTAGGGCCAACGCGGAGTAGGGTGTCTCGGCCGCTGGCTTAATAACCATACAGCAGCCAGCCGCGAGAGCAGCACCCGCCTTTCGAGTTATCATGGCAGATGGAAAGTTCCAGGGCGTGATTATTCCAACAACACCGATCGGCTGCTTTATCGTGATAACTTGTGTTCCTCTTGCACTGGCTTGGACTGAATCTCCGTAGGAGCGGACTGACTCACCTTCAAACCATTCGAGGAAACTGGCTGCATACTTAATCTCAGCATGGGCTGCCCCAATCGGTCTTCCATTTTCAAGACTCAGAATCGTAGCAAGGTCTTTCTCATGTTCTTGCATAAGCTCAAACCAGTCCTTCAAGATTCTTTTGCGCTCTCGAGGTGAGGAATGCTGGAAATCCTCAAATGCCTTTTCAGCGAAATTAATTGCATCTTCTGTTCCCGAATTATCGCTGTAAGGAGCAGCTTTGTCAGCAATGCCTCAATCGGATGTAAATCGAGTAAGACTGGAGGATAAATTACAGGTCAGGGCATGAGCCCAGGTATTCTTTTGAAAATGGGTTGAAGACCGAGAACCGTGAGTTAGCACCGGCCTCGGTCCATTGCCCGTTAATGTAGGCCTTCTCTCTAAACAACTCTGGGTCTCGTAACAGAGACTTGACCTGTGTTGGGTTTGTTAAGCGGAATTCTTCACGGGAGGAGAAATGATTACTTTACCTTTGAGCTTGACACAGTGGCCATCATTCGTGTTGTTCGCCAACAACAGTTTGAGATTGCTAAAGGATAGTTTTTGATGAAACAGGGTCGCAGCATCATAAGAGTACCAGGATGAGTTTTGGACATCGAAATTAAGGCATTGACAATATAAAAGACAAGTCTACCGTCGTATGCAAAGAGGCTCTGGTTTTATTTGCATCAGGACAACGTCGTCTAGACAGAAACTTAGTAATATAAATAGCCGCGGGTTGAGTTTTGACTTTCCGTCCTTGTTCAAAGTTACCTTCGGTTATCAAAGTTACTAAGAGGTACAGTACGTAAACTCAAGGCCGGTCTGCCGAGGCCTCGCGATAAAGTATGGGCCGACGTTACGCGTTATAATTGCTGTTAAAGACCACACTTATCGGCAAGGTCATTAACACAAGGTTTCAATACTTTGACATAAACACAAATATCGATGTTTATCAATAAACTACTTGTTCCGTCTTTATCTCAAAGGATTGGATAACAAGACGTTATCTGAACCTTCAGCATGAACTTATCGAGAAACATTCCGAGGCTCGTTGGCAAGGTTGCTATCGTCACTGGTACGTCCTATGAAAAAGCAAACCTCTGATTTCATTTGCTCTGTATGTTTCCAGTCGCTGACTTTTGAAAGGCGGTGGCTCTGGCTATGGAGAGGGCATCGCCAAGAGATTCGCCCAAGAAGGAGCCAAAGTTCTGATTACCGACCTAAACAAGCGGGGTGGAGAGAGAGTGGTAGAGACCGACCATGACTCTATTTCTTTCTTGAAAGCAGATGTTGGACTTCAAGAAGACTGGAGAAAGGTTATTGAGACTGCTAAATCTCGATACGGGCGGCTCGATTGTCTCGTGAACAATGCTGGCGTCACATATCACAACAAGGTAAGTGACCATCCAAACGATGAAGTTCAAACTGACGTTCTGTTTTTATAGCCCACATCTTCTGTGACCGAAGAGGACTTCGATAGGTGTTTCCGAGTCAACGTCAAGGGCGTATTCTTTGGCTCACAGGCCTTCCTTCCGGAGCTGATCAAACAAGGCGAAGGTGGGACTATGATTAACGTGGCGTCAGTTGGTGCTACGAGACCCCGGCCAGGCCTCGTCTGGTATAATGCTTCCAAAGGTGCAATCTGGAACGTAAGTTATAATATGAGCCAGAGAACCTTCATCAGGGACGTATTCCACGTACTAACTTGAGCATAGGCAACTAAGGGCTTGGCTGCGGAATATGGCGCACACAATATCCGCATCAACTCGGTCTGTCCCCTTCTTGGCGGAACTGGCTTGTAAGATACTGTTGATTATTCTTTAAACACAAGCTTTGACTGACTGTGCCTAAAGATTTGAAGCTTTCTCTGGACAGCGAGACACGCCGGCTAATAGGGAAAGATTCATCGGCAATGTACCATTACAGCGGCTTTGCAAGCCAGAGGATGTTGCTGGCGCTTGCTTGTTCCTTGCGTCGGACGACAGCAAATTTATTACTGGTATCAATATGGAGGTTGATGGAGGCAGAGCCATCTGAAGAAAACGCATCTTCCAGAGGTAGTATGGTCCGTGAGTTGTAATCGAGCTCGGTCGTTATATTCGGCTTTCGTAACTTTCTTAATAGACTCGCAATGAACTTCTGATCTCTAAATACCTACCATCTACTTGCTAAACAAACAGAACGTTAATGATCTGGTAAAGGAATACCTTAAAGTTTATAAAGTAATATTTCTCAATATATCTATAAAGTTCATTTTTCATCTTATTAGCTGAAAATACCAAAGACCTTGTGTGCAAGGTTATTGAGTGTTGTTCGCTGCTTTAAGCTCTTAGCCACACGTCTTAACTATAAACAATATCTCTATTTGTTTTTAAGTTTACATATCAGCTTTAAAAGGTATTTAAAAAACCCCAAAGTCTACTATAATTTAAACGTTCATTACCTCCCAGGTGGTAAAGCTTTATTAAGTTAATATCATGAAGTTAGCTGCCTCAATTGCGACCTGAACCTAGATGCACTCAATTCGGCTAGCCGAAATCTAAAATAGTATCTTTATATAATGGAGATTACTATGTTTTGAAAGCATAAAAGGCCCCTGTGGAGTTACTAACACAAGTCTTGGTTACCTAGTGGATACTAAGCGGCAGGATACATTTGAAAATGCCTTCAGCCTATCGACTTGTTTCAACTTACTGAAGTTTGTATGCTCCGATTATGATATTAGTTGGTCATTTGGTCAAAAATAGCAAACGTAGAGGTGCTTTTGCTGGTAGCGACGAGGGTGAATGACATAGGAAAGATAAAGTACGCGTTCACAACTGTTTGTGACTTGGGCGTGGACATACATCCGGTTGAAATGGGGAAGAGTATTTTACCACGGTATGGATATGAATGGCGTGGAAAACAAGCGGGAGACAGATAAACACTTGAAAGTGGACATAGGCATGCGACATTGAAAGAATACAAGACCAGGGTAACAGCCTAGCCGATATACGTAAAACTCATCTTTCAGTTGAATTAGAGCTCGAAGATCGGTATACGGTCCCACTCTTGCTATTCTTAACACAGGCTACAGCTAATGCCATGCTTGGCCATTATGAATGACAAGCCTCGGGGACCAAAGGCCCGCGGGTCCGGGTCGTTCCATAACAGCTCAACAATCCGTGCTCCTGTCTTTACTGCACCAGGCGTCCCTGACGCCCTTGCTTTAAAACCTGTCCTGAAACCCGCAACATGCTTCTCGCTTCGTGCACAAGAACCCATAATGACACCTGGCCAGAGAAGCATACGTCGATATGGTGATTCGCTGACAAACAGGTTATAGAAGTTGGGCATCATTTGGTCAATCCGTTCTTCAATCTCAAACATCAGTTCCGGATCGGCAAGCATGTTCCGTTGAAATGCCGACTTCAGATATACGATTAACGCGTTCTGATAAATCATTGTCGCGCCTGCACGCTCTTTGTAAGGCCGGAGACCATTGCTTTCATCACCGGCTTCGTCAACACTATGTAATTTCTGCAGCAAGGACTCATACTCCTTTGACAAAGCTGTTGGCCTCTTGGGGTTTTGTTGCTCCTCTTTGCGTCGAGCCTCAACAAGCTTTGAAACTCTTGGCACCAGCTCGAATAACTGCTTTCCGAAACCAAGAAGGTATCCTCGAGATCTATACCCGTCAAGGACATCAAGCGAATGTACGGAAGGGTCGATCTCGACAAACTCATTCGATGTAAGGCTGCGAGGAGTAATTGCGAGCTTGATTGTGTGATATGTGTATAGCTCAAGGATGAACCCTTTCAGGCTCCGCAGCTCATCAAGAGCATTGAGGTCGCTCGTGAGGAGTTTGATGTATTCCTGGCTGGCTTTGAGGTGGTGATAGATTGAGCTGCGGGAGCTGCCCTGAACGTGCTAGATTGTCCTGTTAATGTTTGGTATCAAGACTCGACCGATTTCACTCACATCAAATACGCAGAGGAGCAGTAGAATAAGCAGGACACGGGAAGGAGTTGGTGGCGTTATGTCAGCTTCTGGTGCATAGATGGTCTGTCCAGCTCGGTAGTACAGAAGCTTCTGTATTCCAGACAGCACGTTGGCATAATGGCTACGAGCAGCTACCTCTAACCCACAGGCGCCTTTATGACTAGATGACGTATCGTTAATGACGACGTGAGCTCCTCCAATGGCGAGGACACAATTGAGCACCAGCGCATCATGTGAGGCCAGCGGCAGCAAGTACTGTATAAATGGGTTCCCGTCCAGGCTTGGTCCACGTGTCAGCATCTCGGCCGTGACGCTGATGTAGTGCTGATAGAGTCTCCGGGAGTTATCGCTTAGATATGCGAGGTTTCCATATGCTGGAGCGGCTCTTAGAGATGAAGTGGCTGCAGCTCTTGATCCTGATTGAACCCTAGGAACACAATATGCCGTAAGGCTGACGTTTTGTGGTGGGTTGGGACTGCTAGCTTGTGTTGTGCTGACGCTGAGCTGCATGTCTGGCTGTTGCTTTTCTTCCGTCCTTGGCCAGGTGCAGTCTTGCTGAGACCTCTCACACGCTGTGCATATTGGTTTAACCTCGTCGCACTTCTTACGTTTTGCGCGACAAGTAAGGCATCCATTCTTTGAACGTGGATGTTTTCGACGCCATTTCTTTGGGAACGGCGCGCCGCGAATTGGGGAAACCTCCTGTTCTTCCATTATGATAGTTGCAAACGAGTTTTCAAGCAAACAGACTATCCGACCTACACATATGCGTTGATATAAGAAAGTCTTCGTTACGCCCTACCGGCATCGTCATCCTTATAGGGCTGAGCAAAAGGAGCTACAACTGATACGTCGTAAGCACAACTATGCTCATTCGACGTTAGCGTAGGAGCGATCCTCTATCTAAGCGCTTATCTAAACGCCGTGTGCTGTGGGTCCACAGTGGCCAGCACGCCAGTCAATGGGTCATAATCCGTGCACATGGAATGTATAGTGAGGAGTGAGGTTTTCGTCACGGGTAATATAGTAGATATTGAATCACTATACATAGGTCTATCAGCCTTGTATGCCTATCCATTCGTTGTGTCCCTGGCACTGGTTGGGTCCCGGCATGTAATATCCAAAGTGCTTGTGTCAATGTTCTGACAGTCGTAGACCGGTGGCTTCTTGCTTGGAACCTGGACTCTGATATCCTCAGCCACGATGTTACTGCAACGCTGCAATAAGGTTAGTCAACTCCACTGTGTATTTGGCAATGAGTTCTTACATCGGGTGCACTGCAAACGAGAGTTCCAGCTCGTGGGTCGTATTTGGTTGAAACTGTTCCCCAGAAGTTCTTCATCGTGACATCCTCAATAGTCAGGTTTGCCTGGTATTATGTCAGCGACAGGTAGTTTACATGTGCCTGTTGAACTTACAGGGAACTCGTTGCACAAAGTCTGATTCTTCTGACCATAACACTGAGTAATGGTGATAGCGTTGTCGTTATTCTCGTGGTAGAAGGTATCGTATGTCACGTTTCTGACACGGCCGAGACCGCCGCCGCCGTTCAGAAGATCCTGGAAGGCAGTCTCAACGCCAGGCCAGACCTTGATTCGAGCACCATCGCTGGCATTAGACATGGAGATGTTGTAGATGTAAAGATTCTCCACGATGTCGGTCTCGCCCTTGTACTGGCCCAGGGAACCAACACTAATACCATGAGAGCCATTGCACACGAGGTTCTGAACAACCACGTTTGTACTGTTTGGCTTGAATGATACGCAATCTGCGGCTGTGAGAATGTGACCATAAAGTCCTGGATTGGGAGCGTACCGTCTGTGTTGTTGATAACAGAGTCTTGGATGACGATGCGGTCGGAACGGTAAGTATCCCAACCATCAGAGTTGGCGATTTTGACCCCATTCAAGCTCTTGGCTTCAAGATCCAAATCACTGATCAACACGTCGGTGCTGTTGATGATAATGTTGAACCACTGATTTCTGTGAGCTTGGTACTGTGCCGGGTGTGACTGAGACTTACGTTGGGTGGGTTGCGCATTCGCAGGTTGGACATGGTGAGGCCATGTGCGTCCTCAATCGTCAACAGGATTGGTCTGAGTAACTTGGCAACAATTAGTATTGACGGTAAGCAGAGGAGTGCTAGAGTGCATCACGACTCACAGTCTTGTTGACAGCCATCTCTTCCCAGTAAGCTTGCCCATGGCCATCAAGCACAGACTCCCCCTTTGTCAGATCGCCGTAAATATGGATATCCTTGCCACCAATCTTCCAGAACGAGGACATGTTCTGGAAGTCATACTTGAAGCTGTGGTCTGCCCAGTAGTAGGGATCGGACTTGAAGTTGACCTCTCCAGTAATGATAACGTCGACATGAGCGAGCCATGTCAAGTCAAGTGGCGAGGCAATGCTGTACTTTTGGTCAAGAACAATTGTGCCTCCTTTGTTGCACTTCTTGAACGCTTTCAAAATGCTTGGAGCATCGTCGACATTCTTGCCCTTACCCGCGTTGACATAACAGAAGTCCTTGCGAGATCGTGCGGGAGAGGCAGGAAAGGCTTTCCCTGTACCATAAGGGGCAGCTTCAACATGGGGCCTCTTGGGTAACGCCGAGTTGCGAGACGAGGTGCCAACAACTGATGACACAAGAGCAGACACGGCGACCGCCGAAACAAGGTTATTGAACAACATGTTGACTATTGAATGAATTGCTGATACGGAAACATATTATTGACGCCATACTCACGTCTTTATATTAATTATGCCAGACCGTTCGATATGTTTGAAAGTAGACATGTTATTGGTGGAAGAACTCTATCAGATATTCTGGCAAAGTTCAGGTGAGATCCACCGGCACTAATCGGTATCGTTCCCAAACCACGCGCTTTACCCCACGATGCCATTTACTTAAATTGCGGGGTAGGGTTCAATGTCGTTTTCTCCGCAAATTGGCCAATGGGCATCATTACCATGCTTTTGAGTTTCCCCTTGCTACTGGTTCATTTCCGGAGATCCCCCAATCCCCCCAAACTCCTCCGTACCCCAAGATTGAACGAGCCGGGTTGCCAGCTTGGCAGCCAATTATCAATGTCTTCTGCCTCGGTTGACTCGGATGTGCTGGGCATTAATCACGTTGAATATGACAGACTGTGCTTCCTGAATTCATATATTTGTCTAAAGTCAGACGTGTTCCTAGTCTCGAGTCCCCTGAACAATGCTATATACCCCCACCTCATCATCTTCCACCAAAGTTCATGATGGTCATATAAAGTCCCCCAACTGCCAACGTCACAATACGTTCATTCTTGTTGCTTAAAGAGACTGAACGGGAGCTTGCGGAAAGCTCTGGAATTATCTAGGGGCGCTACTAGAACATGTGGCGAACACAGAATCCAAGGGGAGTAAGATACCCCTTACGTATGCTACTCAAGCTCTCTTAACAACATACTTTGATTGAAAATGGGTTTCGGATAAATAGTCTACACGACGCACCTGCGTATGGGCAAGAAGTCCATGACTGTACGGCGAATATCTATTGAGCACAGAGCAATGCTGTGCTCCTTGACTGTTGATCCGCAGAATTCGCTTCATGGACATACACAGCGGCATTAGATGAGCATGTCTTATGTAGACATAGGCAAGCAATATATTCGGGAGAGGGATTCGATACAGTTGTTCATTGTCTTGAGTATATTTGAGTTGGAGGAAGTGTAGCTACATACCTATGCGAGGTTATCTCCAATCTATGCTCTGACATCAGAGAGGAAGCGAGTTGGATTAGATTGTATCAGAAGTCAAGCAGTTAAGTTCTTATGTAGAGAACCATTAGTTAGTCCATCCGTTAACCGGAAGGAACCTACTTAGTACGCTCATGTTAGTCTTTATCGCCCACCAATCACTACTTGCACACCGGAATGATCGCGTGGCCTCGAGTGCACATTATGTACGCCTGCTATCTTCAGCTTTCTTTGAACATCAGTACTATGATTTTCAATCACCGGTGTCGTAGCAGTCTCGCGTTATGAGCTCCAGAGTCGTGAATACATCTCTTGAAGGACATAAATACAGTAGCATCTTTTGATATCCACAACTGCGTAGTTGGTGAGAAGATTGTATCTTCCTACTTACTGGCTTGATAATACAGGGTTTGTTTCTATATGTAAATGGATACGCATTTTGAGCTGGTGGAAGTCGACTTGCTTGGAAGATATCAGCTTATGACTTTATTGTTAGGTTGGACTTGTAGATGGTTTAAGCTTTTTGGATTGTTCCTTAACACAAAGGTGATTTCAATCTCTGTTTATATGAATATCGGATTGTTGTCAGAGTTATCTACACAGATGCTCTGGAGCAATCTATGTTATGTGGACTATTGGGATTTGTCTTTACAATACACTTAACTTGTATATGATTCACATCGTTGAGGTTTTTTTTTTTAACTACGCATGGGTGGTATTGTACATTAGAACGGGGCATGTTATAACTGATGAGGATACAGTGGTTGGTCTAGCCATTACAGTTCCTCCTGTTCCAGCAATTCTGCCGGTTCCGTTGACGAGACAAAAGAAGCCCCTTCGCCTGTTAAATTGAACTCGAGGCGGCAGTCAAGTCAGTGGCTCTGGGTGATATCGCTTCTAAAGTACTATTTTCGGGACATCCGTGGCTGATGTTGCTCAGGTCCATCCTCGTCACGTTCATAACTGGCCTCGTACAGATCCCGCATACAAAACCTCAAGACTATAGCTCATGAGGTGAGAGGGAGGAACAAGCATATTTCTGTTTTTCACCAATACATCACGGTGGAGATTAATTGGTGCCAATGCTGTTGGTGGTGTCATGGCGGTTGCGTGCAGTGTCAAGCTGGGCACATAAGGTCTGGTCCGTGACGCAACTTATTCTTCCTTCAACATTTTTCTCTTCTCGCATTTCAATCTCTCAACTCGCCTTTTCATCTCCAATGAAATAATCTGCTACGCGAACAAGGAAACTCGAGACATCGAGTTATACACAACAATCATGTCTTCTACCAACACACCCCGAATCTCTTCTTCTCTTCACGAAGCCGCAAGTGCTGTGTTCAAGCTCACACAGCACAACAGCCGGCTCCAACAACACCAAATCGACCAAGCGCTGAAATTCAGACAGCTCGCCGATTCTTTGCATCGATCGATTGACGAGTTGGAGCTGTCGACCATGCACCTTCGATGTGTACCCGGCTCCGAGGCGTACTTCTATCAGGCCCAGCAGCATTTTTATTCATTCCGCCTCATCGAAAACGATCTCAATAATACTCTCGCATCCATCACCAACGCCGACTTCAAATTTGGTCAAGAAATGCGGACCAGCTATGCCCAGTTTCTGAGCCATGTTTCGTGCTACACCGGCGATGACACTCAAGCCCTGGCATCACTCAAAGCCACCACCGGATTATTCGACGTATTTCACTCGCAACAGCGCCAAAGACTTGCCGCCATGCGCGATCAGCTCGATAGCCTTACCCTTGTCATGAACAAGATGGCGGCTTTGAAACACGGGTTGGAGGAGCAAGGGTTGATCTGACGGACATTATTGGACCTGGAGCTTCGTTGTCGCTTGGGTTTTTCCATGAAGGCACTGTGGTGAATAATGAGGATATTTCCTTAATTCATGGGGAAGGAAGCATGACAGAATAATCGCCCGATACTCCGGCAATAACAGAAACCTCTCAGGTTTCTTCGAAACAACTACCAATATCATGATCGAATCTCGGTCTTCATATAATGTTCTGCAAGATAGAGGCCACGGACTTTCGCATCCATATCAAGTGTGAAAGATCATTACGGCGACTTCATAAACCTCTTTTAAACTGTAGTGAATTTAAACATCGCTATAGGCCACAGTTCGAGCTGTCGTCAAGATGATAGACACTCAGTCCATATAGTTGCTCACAAATAGTGAGCGATACTTCAGGCATTGGTGGCTCTCCTGCTTGAGTTCATTTCAAGCTTCTTCGAATTCTGTGTTGTTTTACCTTTCTGTCTGTCGAGTATATAACCTCAAACACAGGGTACAATTCAGCTTCCTCTTGATCAACCAGCGACCTCGACTTTCATTGAAGTCACGGGTTGATCCAGTAATTGACCGCTGACTTCTGTACTGTAAAGCTATCGACTTTGCGTTGTCCCTATCTGGTACCCCTTGGATTCGTCACGGGACCTCCGGAGTGGACTGGCAATGGTTCAACTTCCAAGGTGTTGATGCGGGGAAGTCCCTAATGACGGTCATCTTGTTGTTGAAAGCATAGATGGCTCTGAGTCGTGAGTTGAGAGTTGACTCCTGTTTGCCGTTGGCAATATACATTCCGTAGCCTGTGACCTATACTTTGGTATGGATCTTGGCGTTAACTCAAGACTTATGAACCTTGAGCTTTCTGTGTCGATGCTTTGGGATCTTGGGGTTGTCTTTTGGTGTGGCATTTATTCCATTATTCAATTCATACATGGCTTGATTGTTTGGCTGACTCGCCCTTAGTCGTAGATTTCGTTGCTGTAGGGAAAATTGTGGTGAGAAGCGTAGACCAAGACTTGAATGACTCTTGGGATGCGACTGCTGCTTTATGTTTAGTAAACTGGATCTTCCGCAGCCTTGCTTGATATATCAGACGCTCTGAGACGAACTATCTGAGCTCGAGGGGCTGAGAGAGAACAACTGAACCCGTTCTCCAGTCTGATCTAATGGCGTACAGTTTTGCGGAGCCGATATACAGATGGTTTGGGGATGCCCAAGACATTTGCGGACGTGGGTTGTACTGACTTCAGATATGTCACGAGAATCCTGGCCAGGCGAGTCTTGGGATTCTTGTTCTCTCATCCGGTTCTCTTTTTTGGCTGTGAGGTCCCTGACTTCTGTACGGGCGGATAAGGCCATCTCGCTGCGAACACTGGCCATTGTTACACTCTGCAATTGACGCTGTCGATAAAAGGGGTCCTCATTATATGACAACTAATCTCGTATACATAATATTTAGATAGTTGCTTCCGTAAAACCTCGCTGCAGGTTGTCAGAAGCTCATAGTTGACGCTTCCTTTAGTTGATCAACCGTGGGCCGTTGTGTAGACAAACCAGACAATACAAACGGTTTAACACAATGTATTATGCTGTTTTCTTACCAACAAAGGCAACATCGACCCGACTTCTTATTGTATGAGATGAGGAATAGTTGTGCGAATAATTACGAATACCCTAAAGGCGACCATTCTGTTTCATCCGGAAGTTCAGAATAGCTTCATTGAGAATTTATATTAATCGTGTAATATGGCCACGTATAAAATGATCCAGCAGAAAGTACATTAAATAAAATATTCATATCCCTTTCAACGGGCTCATATCTGCTCCTGGGATTGTCTTCCCGCGGAAGATCTTTTCCTTACTTTGGTCTTTGAGACTCTAGCGAGGCGGTAGACATTCAGCCTCTTACTTGCACCGCACTTCTGTGACTTGTTTCCCTTGCAGGCAACGTTGCACTGCGATACTGGAGCTTCAACACTACCATTGGAAGGGCCTTTCTTACTGCAGTAACAGTCCTCTCCGTTCTCAAGTCCCAAGTAGGGATATCCTTTGCTGGAACAAAAGTTTGAGCAGACACTGAGGGTCATCTTTTTGTTTGTTGTCTTGGCCCCCCCTAAGGCGCGAGCACCTTTCCCTTCGGTATA